CGACCCGTCCAGGCGGCCACCCTAGCGTGGCTCTCCGGGAGCGAGGCGGCGGCGCCACCACCAGCCCACAAACCTGGAGGCTCAATCTCCCGCGAGCGGAGGTCGCGCCGGTGGCCCGGAGACAGCGGGCCGATCTCGCTAGCGTCGCCGGCCTCCCGGTACTCCGCCTCGGGAACCGCGGCCAAATACAATCCCTTGCCGACATCGCTGACACTCCGGCGGGGACACGCTATCTAAAAGCGGCCGCCAGGTGGCACCCGACAACCGGCGCGAACAACAACGAGGCAGATCCGGATCGCGGGCCCGCGAAGGCGCACAGCCCGGCCGCCCGGCCGCCCGATCTCGTGGGGCACGGGCCTCCCACAGCGGCACACCTGCGGCGCCCGGGCTTCCGGGAGGACTTAAGACACATTTCGGCGGGCAAGGACCGTAAAACCGAGACCAAGCGAGTACTCCGACAACCACCACGGATGAACCTTCTCTCTTCTATCATTTTAAGGGGAGGAGGAGGTCTCTCTGAAGCATACGAAGAAAGCTCAGGACAGGAAGGGGGGGGGGGGATTGACACACACCCCCAGAAAGGTGCACATCAAATCCGTCTCTGCACGTACGCGATAACGTCCAAGGCCAACAAGCGGGGCGGGGCGTGCGGGGGCGGGGGGCGGGGCGCGCGGTGCGTGCGGGGGCGGGGGCGGGGCGGGGCGGTGCGTGCGGGGGCGGGGGGCGGGGCGGGGCGGTGCGTGCGGGGGCGGGGGGCGGGGCGGGGGCAGGCGCGGAATGGGGAGGAAGGGAGTTAAAATAGTCCTTCACTCAAGAAATCCAGTTCCGCAGAATAGAGAGCCCAGAAATGGACCCTCAACTCTATGGTCAACTCATCTTTGACAAAGCAGGAAAGAATGTCCAATGGAACAAAGACAGTCTCTTCAACAAATGGTGTTGGGAAAATTGGATAGCCACATGCAGAAGAATGAAACTGGACCATTTCCTTACACCACACACAAAAATAGACTCCAAATGGTTGAAAGACCTCAATGTGAGACAGGAGTCCATCCAAATCCTAAAGGAGAACACAGGCAGCAACCTCTTTGACCTCAGCCAAAGCAACTTCTTCCTAGAAACATCGCCAAAGGCAAGGGAAGCAAAGGCAAAAATGAACTATTGGGACTTCATCAAGATAAAAAGCTTTTGCAAAGCAAAGGAAACAGTCCACAAAACCAAAAGACAACCGACAGAATGGGAGAAGATATTTGCAAATGACATATCAGATAAAGGGCTCGTATCCAAAATCTATAAAGAACTCATCCAACTCAACACCCAAAGAACAAAGAATCCAATCAAGAAATGGGCAGAAGACATGAACAGACATTTTTCCAAAGAAGACATCCAAATGGCCAACAGACACATGAAAAAGTGCTCAATATCGCTCAGCATCAGGGAAATCCAAATCAAAACCTCAATGAGGGCGCCTGGGTGGCTCAGTTGGTTAAGCGACCGCCTTCGGCTCGGGTCATGATCCTGGAGTCCCAGGATCGAGTCCCGCATCGGGCTCCCTGCTCAGCGGGGAGTCTGCTTCTCCCTCTGATCCTCCTGACCCTCCCCCCTCTCATGCTCTCTTTCTGTCTCTCTCTCTCTCTCAAATAAATAAATAAAATCTTAAAAAAAAAAAAAAAAACCTCAATGAGATACCACCTCACACCAGTCAGAATGGCTAAAAGTAACAAGTCAGGAAATGACAGATGTTGGCGGGGATGCGGAGAAAGGGGAACCCTCCTACACTGTTGGTGGGAATGCAAGCTGGTGCAGCCACTCTGGAAAACTGTATGGAGATTCCTCAAAAAGTTGAAACTAGAGCTGCCGTATGATCCAGCAATTGCACTACTGGGTATTTACCCCAAAGATACAAAAATAGGGATCCGAAGGGGTACGTGCACCCCGATGTTTATAGCAGCAATATCCACGATAGCCAAACTGTGGAAAGAGCCAAGATGTCCATCGACAGATGAATGGATAAAGAAGATGTGGTATATATATACATACAATGGAATATCATGCAACCATCAAAAGGAATGAGATCTTGCCATTGGCAACGACGTGGATGGAACTGGAGGGTATTATGTTGAGTGAAATAAGTCAAACAGAGAAAGACATGTATCCTATGATCTCACGGATAGGAGGAATTCTTAATCGCAGGAAACAAGCTGAGGGTTGCTGGAGTGGGGGGTGGGGTGGGAGGGATGGGGTGACTGGGTGATAGACACTGGGGAGGGTAGGTGCTCTGGCAAGCGCTGTGAATTGTGCAAGACTGTTGAATCTCAGATCTGTACCTCTGAAACAAATAATGCAATCTATGTTAAGAAAAAAAAAAAAAGAGGGCGCCTGGGTGGCTCAGTTGGTTAAGCGACTGCCTTCGGCTCAGGTCATGATCCCGGAGTCCCGGGATCGAGTCCCGCATCGGGCTCCCTGCTCGGCAGGAAGCCTGCTTCTCCCTCTCCCACTCCCCCTGCTTGTGTTCCCTCTCTCGCTGTGTCTCCCTCTGTCAAATAAATCAATAAAATCGTAAAAATATATATCTTTAAAGAAATCCAGTTCCGGGACATCCGTGCCGTCCAACACTAGTACGGGGTGGGCGGGGGAGGTGCTCTAGAAGAGTTAAATATTGATGATGATGATGATGATGATGGAGAAGAAGAAGAAGGAGGAGGAGGAGGAGGAGGAGGAGGAGGAGGAGAACTGTTCCATGCTATTAAGGGTAAAACAAAAACAAGGCGTAGAACTTCCTCTGGCTCGTAAAGGGGGAAAAAAAAAATGGTTTGGGTTTTGTTTTTTGTTTTTTCTTTCTTCCTGTTTCAACTAAGCGCATTTCAGGGCACCTGACTGGCTCCGGTCGGAGGAGGCCCACGCGACTGCGACTCTTGATCTGCAGGGGTCGTGAGTTCCAGCACCATGCTGGATGATCACTCAAAAAGCTTTCAAAAACAAACACGCAAACAACCGACACCGAGCAGCATTAACCATCAAAGATACACACCTGTGACGAATACGACGTCAGAGGAAACCACGAGCAGCAGTAGCAGAGGATAGGACACTAGAGGGCAACAGAGCCCCATCCATAGGTGCTAGGGGCACTTGAACGCTTTCTGTGTCCACTAGGGACCTCGAAAAAACTTCACTCCCCTATCCAGGGAGGAGAGGGGAGAAGCAACCTCCAGCAAGAATTCCTTTGATTATCTTAATCGCAGGAAACAAACTGAGTGTTGTTGGAGTGGGGGGTGGGGTGGGAGGGATGGGGTGACTGGGTGATGGACACTGGGGAGGGTGTGTGCTCTGGTAAGCGCTGTGAATTGTGCAAGACTGTTGAATCTCAGATCTGTACCTCTGAAACAAATAATAATGCAATCTATGTTAAGAAAAAAAAAAGAAGAAGAAGAAGAAGGAGGAGGAGGAGGAGGAGGAGGAGGAGGAGGAGGTAGCAGGAGGGGAAGAATGAAGCGGGGGGAAATCAGAGGGGTAGACGAACCATGAGAGACGATGGACTCTGAACAACAAACTGAGGGTTCTAGAGGGGAGGGGGGTGGGAGGATGGGTTAGCCTGGTGGTGGGTATTGAGGAGGGCCCATTCTGCATGGAGCAGTGGGTGTTGTGCACAAACAATGAATCATGGAACACTTCATCTAAAACTAATGATGTAATGTATGGGGATTAACATAAGAATAAAATAAAAGAAAAAAAAAAGAATTCCTTTGATTAAAGGTAACTCTTACTACATTGAACTTCACCATTTCGGGGCACCTGGGGGGTGGCTCAGTCGTTAAGCGTCCGCCTTCGGCTCAGGTGACGAGCCCAGGGCCCTGGGATCGAGCCCCACATCGGGCTCCCTGCTCCGCGGGAGGCCTGCTTCTCCCTCTCCCACTCCCCCTGCCTGTGTTCTCTCTCTCGCTGTCTCTCTCTGTCAAATAAATAAATAAAATCTTTAAAAAGTAAATAAATAAATAAATAAATAAATAAATAAATAAATAAATAAATAAATAAATAAATAAAATAAACTTCACCATTTCAACATGGACCTTTAATGGTTTCCTTCCCAACCAAGCCTTTCTCCTTGCCTCCTCCTTACCCGCGTGAATCCCTGATCCCACTTCACAACATCCCCCCCCCCACACACACACACCAGGCTGAAAACTGTTCTCTCTAAACCATAAATCCTGAGCATCAGGAAAGTACACGAGGAAACACAGACGAGAGAGAGAGAGAGAGAGAGAGAGAGAGAGAGAGAGAGAGACCAAGCAAATAATGTGGCTCTGAAGGCTGGACATCGATCGAGTTGAGAGAAAGGACCAGACATCACAAACTCGAAAAGAAGGTTTTCCTTTAAAGCTGATCTCTTCCTGAGTTGGCTAAACTACGTTCTTTACTGGTACGGCCTCCACTCAAGAGTGCGACGATCAAAAGAAGGTTTCGCAGTAAACACTTCACGGGTGCATCTATTAAAAAAAAAAAAGAAAAGAAAAGAAAAAAAAGGGCGCCTGGGTGGCTCAGTTGGTTAAGCGACTGCCTTCGGCTCAGGTCATGATCCCGGAGTCCCGGGATCGAGTCCCGCATCGGGCTCCCTGCTCGGCAGGGAGTCTGCTTCTCCCTCTGACCCTTCCCCCCTCTCATGTGCTCTCTGTCTCTCTCATTCTCTCTGTCTCAAATAAATAAATAAAATCTTTAAAAAAAAAAGTTCACGGGTGCAGGCTTCACATTGGTTTTTCAAGTACACGTATTTCAGGGCACCTGGCTGGCTCGGTCGGAGGAGGCCCACGCGACCGCGACTCTTGATCGGCGGGCGTCGTGAGTTCCAGCACCGCACTGGATGGGTGTACAGATTACATACACAAGCAGACAGGCAAAAGGAATTAGAATCGCTATGGTGATTTCGAAGAAAACAAAACAAAACTCAGGAAACAAAGTCGTCCTCTCCGGGCCCGTTTCATGCTTATGTATAGAGGCGATAGAGACCCTGTGATGTTGGCAGACAAAAGAGACAGGTCGGTGGATGGAACGCCACAGATACCCAAACAGATAGGCCCAAGCCCGACAGAAGTTTGACAAATGCGCAAAGGCCATTGGAAGGAGGAAAGACGGCCCACCTCCCCACGAAATCAGAGGGCAGGCATCAGACATCCACAGACCCAACACGCAGGCAAGCAGGCAGACAAAGAAACAAGAAAGCTGGGGCGCCTGGCTGGCTCAATCCGTGAACCGTCCGCCTGCCTTCGGCTCAGGCCCTGAGCTCAGGGTCCGGGGATCCAGCCCCACATCGGGCTCCCTGCTCGGCGGAGACTCTGCTTCTCTCTCTCTCAATCTCTCTCTCTCTCTCTCTCTCTCCCTCCCTCCCCCCTCCCTCCCCCCACCCCTCCTCTCAAATAAATAAAAGTCTTTTAAAAAGAATAATTTAAAAAAAAAAAAAAAGGAAGAAAAGAACGTCACTCACTCCCCTTCCGGCATAGGGAGGACATCTTCGGGGGGGGGCGGGGGATGGGGGGGATGCCTCTCGGGAGAAAAGGGGGAGATTCAGCGAGTCAGCGCACCCTCCTTGCACCTGTGTGTGTGGGGGGGGGGGTGGTGGTTTGTGTGTTTCCTTGCCGCTGCTCGTTTTTTACAAGTGTATATAGAGTTCAAAACAGTATGCTGGTTTCCTTTATATCTAAGTCTTATCTCGGGTTTGGGTTCTGATGGGAGGAGGGAGGGCCACCTTTTCTTCCGACATGGTGGAGAAGGAGAAGAGGGATGCAGGCCTGTGCATATTCTTTTCCGTCGTGGGGTGAGCAGAGGACTCGGATTCAGCTCTTGCTGGATGGGATCTAATTTCTCTGTAAACAATCAGGCAAGATATCAGGCGAACAGAGGGCGAGCAAAGGTTAGCAGAACATGGACAAGATTGGCTATGGGTGCTGGAGTTTCCAAAGCAAGGATTTCATCAGAGGCACGTGAATGTCAAAGATTTCCAGGGACCATGTTCATGGATGACTTGGGGTATAGGTCATTTCAAAGTTACGGTGCTACCACCCGGTCACTTGAGCATACTGTCTCCAGCTCACGGCTGCAGATGCGATATGGGGCTCCTCCAGGGATGGAATTGTGCCAGAGAAAGGGAGACAGCAGCCTGTAATTGAGCCTAAGGTGTGTCTGAGAGAGTGACTCTCTAAAGTGCCTTGAGGCAGAAGGAGACCAGCTAGATTTGTCTTTGCTAGGTATTTGTGGCAATGGGGTCGGTGTGGCTGGTGGGTGTTGTCTGTTTATTTTCTAGATTCAGAGAAAGAACTCTTCAAGTGGAAGTATTTGCACAAGGGGTCTGGCAGGATGGGAGGGTGCAGGGGTCGGTCCATTTAACAAGATAACAGGAGGATCAGGCCTTTTAAGAACTAGGCAAAGAGAGGAGTTTAGCTTTGGTCATCACAGCACCTGGCACCTCAGCAGAAACAACAGAAGGTTCCCAGGATGAATTGAGTTGCAGGAGTCAGCGTGAGCAGACCCCACCACCCTCAGCCCTTATCCCTCAGCGCCCCCCCCCCCGCCCCCCAGGCACACACACCCGGGCAGGCAGCGGCTATAGTCCACTCCGAGCTCCAGATCTGGGTCCCGCCCCCCCACCCCCACCCCCACCCCCACCCCCACAGGGCTCCCCTGTCCTCTTCTCAGCCAGAGATGTATATGGGAGGGTGGTCCCAGAACAAATCTCCCCTCATCCACGGAAACCTTGCCAACACTTCGACCACTTTGCCTGAGCTACCAACTCATCTGTACCCGTGCGTGATTTTTTCCCTATGGACCAGGGGCCTAGTTACCAACTTAGGATGGACAGCCCCCCCCCCCCCCCAGCCTACTGTTCCAATTCGACCAGAGGACTTCAGTTGGGGGGGGATGGGGGGGCTGGGGCTGGGGCTGGGGCGGCTGATGGGACGTTCAGGGTGATCCATTCTAATGGGCCTCATTCAATCGCTTCATTCAAATGCAGAAAGCTTTCTGTTAAAGTCAGAGCCTGGAGCTTCCCTCCATTCAATGGCTTTCCTCAACTCCCCCTAACCCTTAGGCTGCAGCTTGCAAACTTCGGAGAGAGATGAGGGAGGGAGGGAGGGAGGGACGGAAGGGAGGGAGGGAGGGAGGGAGGGAGGGAGGGAGGGAGGGAGGGAAGGGAGGGAGGGAGGAGGGGAAGGGGAAAGAGGGTGTCTGAAGAGCTCACCTCATCTGGGGGCAAAAAGAGTCCCCTCCTTTTCCTAACCCACGAAACTCCAGTAAACCCTTTGGGAATCATGAATGTGGGGGATGATGTCTTACTATACTGCCTTCCAGGGATGGGTGTGCAGGTAGGAGGGTGTGGCATGGTGTGGCTGGCTGAGTCTGAGGAGGACCTTGAACACATGATGGTGGTATCTTAGCGGTCAGAGGCCAAACACAAGCATGGAGTGATAAGGGCTAAGGGCTAAGGGCTAAGGGAGGCCTGACAGGGACCGTTCTAACTCATCCACCGAGTTATGGGCCCAGCAAGCACACTCCTCTAAATCAACATTAACAGTTTATTGATTGTTGGGGCACCTGGGTGGCTCAGTCATTAAGCATGTGCCTTCGGCTCAGGTCATGATCCCAGGGTCCTGGGATCGAGCTCCGCATCGGGCTCCCTGCTCCGCGGGAAGCCCGCTTCTCCCTCTCCCACTCCCCCTGCTTGTGTTCCCTCTCTCGCTGTGTCTCTCTCTGTCAAATAAATAAATAAATACAATCTTAAAAAAAAAAAAAAAAAACAGTTTATTGATTATCCATCGACCTGTCCTCCCTCTCCCACCTGCTTCCCAAGGGAAATCCTCGGTCTCATTCCACGTAGTCACTGGCTGTTTTCGCACACCACCTTCCTGTCCAGTAAGAGGAGGAAGGAAGATGGACAAACAGGAACCAGCCCCACAGATGGCACCTCTGCACAGAGGGGTGAGTGTGAGTCTCATTGGGCCAACTGTGACTCTGAGCCATGATCCCAGGGTTGTTTAAAATATGGAACAGAAGGAGCACCTGGGTGGCTCAGTCAGAACAGCACATGACTCTTGATCTCAGTCAGGGTCCTGAGTTCAAGCCCTACACTGGGACTACAGATGATGAAAAATGAATGAATGAATGAATGAATGAATGAATGAATGAATGAATGAATTTTTAAAAATAAAGTATGTAATGTTTATCTCTTTAAAAAAAAAAAATGGAATGGAGGGGCGCCTGGGTGGCTGCCGGTTGAGCATCTGCCTTCAGCTCAGGTCATAATCTCAGGGTGCTGGGATCGAGCCCCACCCCTCTGGGGCTCCCTGCTCAATGGGGAGTCTTCTCCCTCTCCCTCTGCCCCTCCACCCACCCATGCGTGCAAGCTCTCTGTCTCTCTGTCTCTCTGTCTCTCTGTCTCTCTGTCTCTCTCTCTCTCTGTGTGTTTCTCTCTCTGTCTCTGTCTCTCTCTGTGTGTCTCTCTCTCTGAAATAAATAAATAAAAACAAACAATCAAACTTCAAAAAGGAAAAGGGCAGGGACATTTATGATTATTCATGGCGAAAGTTGGAGCACGTATATTCAGGAAACATATGTACCATAGATTCCCATGTTTACTTCGGGGTGGAGACCTGACATCTGAATGAGGCAAAACTGAGTCCCTGATGTCAGGAGGTTATCTGAGGACAAGGAGAAGAGGCTGTGGGCATGCTCTGAGAGCTGGTACAACCTGGATGGGGTCTTAGGCTCCTTTTCTCAGGTAAGGAATCAGGACCTCGCTTCTTCATAGGCTGCAGCCATTATCAGTTGACCTTGAGTCCAGACTTCTGCAGAGACAGCCAGTATTTGGTAGCAGGGCCTGAAAAGACACAATAGCTGACTAGGGGGAAACAGTTCCCTGAAAAACCAGCTTTAAGCTTTCTGCTAGCATCAACCTCATTAACCTTATGGGGCACGGTTTCAATCCCCACCCCCACCCCCACCCCCACCCCCACCAAGTGAGGATCATTCCTCAGTCTTAGGGAATTGGGATGATGATGGCTGTGGCTATTCTTTCATCTCCTCAGGGGAGGTAGGTTTTGGGTAAACGACAGTTTCTGTAAATCTTAGCTGTAACATGGCTATGTTCAGGGCTAAACAGAAGTTTTTAACCTACAGGTTAAAAGGGAATAAAAATAACAGGGAGTCAGACATGCTACATTTTTCCCTGTTAAAATTTCCCCTTGTCCATCCTGCATTCCATTTCTATGACACATGGGCAGAGGTCTGCCTTCTTTATTTAACTGCTTCAAGCTGAATTAGGGTGCAGTAGAGGCTTTGGAATGGAAGGATCTGAGACACTGCAGGTCGCAATTTTTGGTCCCTTGTGCTAATGGAGGGGGTCTCAGAGATAGTTCCTTATCTGAGAACTTGGTTATTTTTCTACATGGTTTGGGACTACATGACACCATTGATTTTATCCCCAAGTGTAGTCTAAGGAATAGTAACAGTAGAGTCAAACCCAATTCTCTCATTCTCTCTCAAATTGATCTGATATCGGTGGGTATCCAAGAATACAGATCAGTAAATTAGTCTGAGCCCCTCCCCTGGGGGGGGGGCGGTAGGTTGTGGTGGTGAAGGGCTTCTGGTAGCCAAGTAGCTTAGTGTTTGATTTTATTTACATGGGTTCTTTTTTATTTTTTTTTTTCTTTAAAGATTTCTATTAAGTAATCTCTACACTCAATGTGGGGCTCGAACTCACAACCCCGAGATCTAGAGTCGTATGTTCTACCAGCTGAGCCAGCCAGGTGCCCCTATTTATATGGGTTCTTATTTTCCAAAGAGGAGTTAATACAGGTGCAGCAAGGTGGAATTAAGGATCATAGACTCTGCCTCATTCAGCAAGTGATCTTGTAGTTAATAAGAGGCATTTCTATGGAAACAAAAGGAAAACATGGTTAATGGTTGGAACAAGGGATACACCTGGTGTCTAAGTCCAGAGGGCTGCCAGTGAGAAGGTCTCTAGATGTCAGGCTTGAAGCATCCTCCAATAGAGTGGGAGTGGGCAGGGGCAATCTGACTAATTTTTCTGGCGTATAGTTCAAATGTCTCATTTTGAGTGACTCATAGAGCAACAGGCACAAAGATTGTCTATATATGAGTTATTGTGGTCATTTCCCTGAAATTTATTTCAAGTTGTCCAGCTTTCATTTGCCAGACTTCAGGAAAAAGGACAGTTTTAGTTCTTAATGATTGTAAGATAAGAGAATGGGAGAATGTTCTGAAACAAATAATGCAATATATGTTAAGGGGAAAAAAAGAAGAAGAAGAAGAAGGAGGAGGAGGAGGAGGAGGAGGAGGAGAAAAGGAGGAGGAGAAAAGAAGAAGGAGAAGAAAAGAAGAAGACGAAAAGAAGAAGAAAAGAAGAAGGAGAAGAAAAGAAGAAGAAGAAAAGAAGAAGAAGAAGAAGAAGAAGAAGAAGGAGAGAAGAAGAAGAAGAAGAAAAGAAGAAGAAGAAGAAGAAGAAGAAGGAGAGAAGAAGAAGAAGAAGGAGAGAAGAAGAAGAAGAAGAAGAAGAAGAAGAAGAAGAAGAAGAAGGAGAGAAGAAGAAGAAGAAGAAGAAGAAGAAGAAGAAGAAGAAGAAGAAGAAGAAGAAGGAGAAGGAGAGAAGGAGAAGAAGAAGAAGAAGAAGAAGAAGAAGAAGAAGAAGAAGAAGAAGAAGGAGAAGAAGAAGAAGAAGGAGAAAAGAAGAAGAAGAAGAAGAAGAGGAGGAGGAGGAGGAAGAAGGAGGAGGAGGAGGAGGAGGTAGCGGGAGGGGACGAATGAAGCGGGGGGAAATCGGAGGGGCGGACGAACCATGAGAGACGATGGACTCTGAACAACAAACTGAGGGTTCTAGAGGGGAGGGGGGTGGGAGGATGGGTTAGCCTGGTGGTGGGTATTGAGGAGGGCCCATTCTGCATGGAGCACTGGGTGTTATGCACAAACAATGAATCATGGAATACTTCATCTAAAACTAATGATGTAATGTATGGGGATTAACCTAAGAATAAAAAAATAAATTAATTAAAAAAAAGAGAGAGAATGGGAGAATGTTGGAAACCTTAGTTTGAAGAGTCACAGTCAGATACTCAAGGAAACCAGAAGGATCCAGGATCCAGTCCAGTTTTATAGGCAAACAATAAACGTTCAAAGATAATTAATCTAACACTCACAAAAGTGTGTTATTGAAATGTAATCTTTCTCTCTAAAGTCACCTTCATTCCTGTCAAAGATAGCCAAAAGAAGATTAATTTGTTTGTAAAACAAGTCCAGTTTTAACAAACTTGGCCCAATCATCTACGTAGGGACAGCAAGAATAGCAATTGACCATATATGGGGTCTTTCTTCTCTTTTCTTTTTCCTTTCCTTCTTTTAAATCTGCTTTGATGGAGCTTTTTACAAGGAATTTTAGATTGATCCTTTAACTGCCTTTTTAAAGCCGAGAACCAAGCCAAATATTGGCCATCAGATTCGCCTGCAAGACTTGTAGATTTGCGGAGGGGTAGACGAACCAGGAGAGACGATGGACTCTGAACAACAAACTGAGGGTTCTAGAGGGGAGGGGGGTGGGAGGATGGGTTAGCCTGGTGGTGGGTATTGAGGAGGGCGCATTCTGCATGGAGCACTGGGTGTTGTGCACAAACAATGAATCATGGAACACTACATCTAAAACTAATGATGTGATGTACGGGGATTAACATAAGAATAAAAAAAATTACAAAAAAAAAAAAGACTTGTAGATTTGGGTGAATTCCTCTCTTCTTTGAGGGCCTCCAAATTTCCTGAAGTTCCTGCATCTGCCAGGAGGTGGTACTCTTCACTCACCTGGTAAGGTTGAGGGGACCTCTCTAAGCAAGGTTATCAGGCCAACATTTCTAAGGGGCTTTACTGGCTCCATAAAGTCAATCTGACTTTCTTAAAGCAGTCTCACCATATCTGAGTCTACGCATGTGTCTCTTCGAGATGACAGTCCAGGGGCAC